ATGAATGAGTTATGAATATGAGATGGCATATATGTGAAGATGAGTATATATATATATGCAAGAATATTCATGAGATGATCAAGATATTTAAAATGAGATTTTTATGATCTATTCTCATATGGGTGATGAGTAAATTTGATGAAGATGGTTTAATATGTTGAGCATACAATTTTATAAAAATTGTATTATGTATGGCATATTAATATCATGATTTGATGTGATGTTTAAAAGATGAATATGATTGAGTTTAATTTCACTTTCAAGATGTAAAAGTGAAAAATGAATATGAATAAATATGAATGATTTGGAGAATATGATATATGAGGAGTTAAGAAATTGATTGAGTAAAAGATCAAGAAAAGTTAATTTGAGAAATGATATGATTATTGAAATTTCTATAAGATTTGAATGAATTATCCGAATGAATTGAGAAAACCGAGCATCTTATTGAGTAAATGAGCATAAGTACTTAGTATATTTGTTTATATATTTTTATGTAGCTTGAGGAGGTTGCTTTACGAGAACAACACTTACGAATTTACAAACGACGAAAGGTGGGGACCCAGACTGGGTATTACATTGAGTATAATATTGATATCATGTCCGAGGTATGTAAAAGTTTAAGTTTATACGCTTGGGAAGAAGGCTGATGAGTTGCCTTACGAGTATTTCCTAAGTTCTAATGGAGGCCGTTGAGTTGCCTGAGAAATATCCATTAGATTGTGCACAAGTATCCGATGAGATATCGGCGAGATGAAGTTGAGATGCTGGAAGAGTTTTAAGTCCAGTTATATACCGGAGATCATGATATTGTATTATTATTGCTGTTTACTTTAGTATGGGTGTTTTTCGGGGTACAAGAGGATCGTACTCACCCCCATTGTGTTTTTCAGGAAACAAGGTCGGGTCGGAGGTGTGAGCTCGAGACGTTGTGGTGGTGGTTGTGCATTTCCAAGGATTTTTATGAAGTCTTTAATAAAGTTTGTATAATAAATCATGCTTTCGATTATTCCGCTACGCATATTGACTATTGAACTTGCATTTTCTTATATGAATTTATGATTTGAAGTTTTTATAAATTTGAGAAGGATGGATATGGTTAAATGCAAGTGTAAAGAAAATCTATTTAATTATGTCTAAAAGAATTATTAGACAAGAGGTTAAAGATAAATGGATTTTCAAGATGTAAGGTTTAGTAGCACTCCGAAATAGTCGCAAAAGATTTCGAAAGAGATATAAGTATTTTCGAAGTAAAAGTTGCGAAAAATTTACTCTGATAAGCGGGGTGTTACACCGGGCAATATAGACTTGTTGCCAGATCTCCTCAGCAGGATCGGCATGTTGTTCTCCCTCTAGCAAACAAGTTGTTAGATCTTCAGGGAGTGTCAAACCCAGAAGAGATAATTTTTCACGGATCTTCTGCCACTGGTTTCGCATATTACATAAGGTCTCTTCAGCTTGTTTCCTCTTTTCTATCTCCATCAATAAACTTAGCCGTATTTCACGCAACTCACTCTCGATATCGGGAATCTTAAGCTGAGGGCCGCTCTCTGATGATAATTCTGAGGCATGAGATGACAATAAGTCATGAAAGGCATATCTCGAGATAATAAAAGAATAACTTGGATGGTGTTTCAGGTTTTGAGAAATAACTAGAAAAATTATGACAACAGTCTGATTTCACTGCAACACAAACAAGTCAAAAATTAAATAGCAAATGGAGGTATCTTCCCAAGCATCATAGAACTCAGCTAATGGTGTGCTCAAATTTAGGGACCGTTCGGCTCCATCAACACACTCACTTTCACCAACGCTCCTAACACTCATTGCGTCCTGTGGATCAGCAAAATCATCATCCTCGCCATCTTGTTGCAAATCAAATCCAACAACAGACTTCATCATGCCATTTTGGCCTTCCGGACCATTTTCCGCATCTAAATTTCCTTTCTCGTCAATGCCTGTACCGTTCAAATGATTTTCTCTAGCAACGGATGGTACAGTGGCATCATCCAAACGAAAAACATCAGGAACCTTCTTAGAAACAAACCCATCATCCTCAGAGGCTCTTTCTGTCACCTCCTTTTCATCAGTATTCCCGTTTTCACTCACCTTGCCCTCGTCAGCCTCCCGTTCCCAAGTTGCCACATCATACTCAGTAAAATTAAAAAAAAAAAGAAAAAAAAAACGTATAATTAGGAGGGTAAAGCTCTGTTATTTATATATATATATATATATTATGTGTTACACAAATACATTTTTAATAAATATTAAAATGGGAATCTATATATATATAATAAGAATTAATATTTACCATAAATAGTAGTAAGGAAAAGTCAACCCACATTTATTATATACTATTTTCAGCAAATTTTTTATTTTACATTTTAATTTTAATTCATTATCAAAAAATTGGATGATTCTTAAATTAATGGGTTTTAAATGCACGTATCATGTTTCAAAAATTATAAATCATTTAAAATCGGATGGTTCCTAAATTAATGGTTACAAACTTTTCAAAGTACGTATCATGTTTCAAAAATTATAAATCATTTAAAATCGGATGGTTCCTAAATTAATGGTTAGAAACTTTTCAAAGTTATAATCTTTATGACATCTTTTCTTTTTGACTTTTAGTAATAAAATTATTTTAAATATATATATTCTAATCCAAAAATTCAATCATGTTANATTTATATGATAAATAAACCCTAAAGCCCTAAATTATCAAATAAAATAAACCCTAAAGGCCTAAATTGTCAAATTCCATCATCTACTATATATACAAAACAAAAACCCTAAATAACATACAAAACTAACATAACAAATGCCGAATGTTAACAAAACTGAAAAAAAAAGCCGTGAGAGTGAAAGAAAAATCACGAAAATGAATGTTACCGTATTTCGGGTTTGAAGAACACGCTGCATCCTCTGAGCGAAGCATGTTGCACTGCCAGCGTCTAATTTCAGTTTTATCTAGGGTTCATGTCGATTTTTGTGATGAATTTAGATGGAAATCTCTGCCCTAATTTTCGCCACAGAGAGAGAGAGTTTTCGATTTTGTGTTTTGAGAGTGACGGTTCGATTTTCTAACAGATAACAAATTAAAAATAACGACTAACGTGGTTGACTAAGAAGACTGTTAAGTCCAGACGGTTTGGTACCAAATTCGCAACGAAAAATCTAAAAGGACCAAATTTGCACTGCCTGGGACCAAATGTGGGAAACAACAAAAGTTTTGGGACTAAATTTGTAATTATCTCGCAGATTTTTTGCCAAAATGAAGTGGCAAAACTGTAAATAAAACGGTACACTCTCAAAATAATGGCAAAAATGTAATAAAAATTGGACACTTGTCAATTTTTAACAATGGCATAATGGGACACTTGTCACCGTTTAAAGGCCACACACTTCTTCATATATATATAGTAGAGATATATTTTATGTGTTACACAAATACATTTTTAATAAATATTAAAATGGGAATGGGCTATGATAATGGATACTACATGTCATCCGTTAGGTCATGTATGACAGCAACAAGAGCGGTTCAAGTGGATCGGTAGGTTGACCAGAGGATGTACAATAAGAAGACTCGAGGTCACTAGAGTATCAGGTCGATGATAATCTCCGAAGGTAGAGCAGTTCAACAACAAGTTGAGCTAGAACTCTTGGTTAGCCTAATGGAAACTCAACCTGTAAAGTGAAGAGGTCGATGTAAGACCTAAAAAGCGAACTTAGTCATTGAAGACCAGAACTACCCAGTTCAAGGGAATTGAACTGACAACACAATTATGCTTAAAAGCAACTACCTAATGAGGTAGACTAGTGTGAACACACAAGATAACGGATAAAAGCGAATATAATTAGGATAAGGTCATGTGGATAGGTGTATGCGGCTAATATAATTGAGCAGTTCGGGCACTCGGGCAGTGTGATTGGGTAGTTCGGGCTCGAGCAATTAGATTTGCAAGATCTTGGACAACAAGATATGATCATCATCACTCTACACACTTTGAGTATTCTAAATACAAATACATTTGTATATAGTTCATCTTCATCCTTGTTTACTGACTTGAGTGTCGGAACTTCTACACCAAGACAACCCTCGACACTATTTTGCAGGTAATTCCAGCGATTTTAAGCACGATTAAAGAGGCGTTGAACCAAATTGAGGTCGTTTACAGTACCAAACAAAGATCTTAGGGCAATTTGTAAAACAATCGAAATTATTCAGTAATGCTAAGGAGCCAACTGTTGCTCCGTTATGGAGCCAACAGCCAATGGGACAGCTCCATGTTGGGCTGTCCCACATGACTCCAATATGGGACACTCCCACATGAAGCTGTCCCATTGGCTGTTGGCTCCATAACGGAGCTAACAGTTGGTGGATTTTCTTGGCAAACAATTTGTCTATTCAAGAATGGAGATGAAAAAAGTACAAAACATTATTTTTTTCTTGGCAAAATTATTAATTAGTTTAGGAGAGTTGGTGGATTTTCTTGGCAAACAATTTGTCTATTAAGAATAGAGATGAAAAAGTACAAAACATTATTTTTTTCAAATGGTGAGATATATATGTTTGTGAGTGATTATAAAATAAATATAATATAAAAAATAATAAACTAGTAATTAGTAAAATTTATAGTCAGAAATATCTAAGTTAATGAATAATAGTTTTATTAGAATACCCAATAATAAATATTATGATTTGAATATTTTAGTGGAATTGAAGAGAAAAATATGAGATATTATAGAAAATAATTTTATGATTTTTTACTTTGATCACCCGTTCAGACAAAAAAATAAAAAATAAAAAATTATATAACCAATTGCGACCTAAAGTATCCGGAATTTGTCTAAAAATGATATAACCAATTCGAAAGTCGATACCTACGAAGTAAAAATTATTTTTTTTTATTATTTTTTTTTTTCACAAGGCCCAAAATGGGGTGGCTCCCTCCAACAAGAAAATGTCTTATAATTTGGGAATCATTTCAGCCTAAATCCCTAAAAAAGCTTCGTGGTCTCTTCACTGTGGATCTACTCTTGCAAGAATTATCGGTAAGTTGACTCTAATTCTGCGTTTTTTTCACCTGTTCTTCCTTCCTATTGCGGTAATATAGGTTTTTCTTTTACTCATCATCATCACGTTAGATTATATTATCTTCTTTTCCTACCGGCGCAAATCGAAATTTGAATTCCGATGTGAAATCATTGCCGAAAAAGTCCTCTATAAAACTTTATGCTGTGACCTAAGGGGTAGTCCTGATAGTGATTTGTTATTTAGACTTTTCCAAGTATTAATTAATCCTTTAACTATACCTCCTGGTGTTGTTACGCATTGTACCGAAGCTTCAATCTTGAATTTTTGAGTGTCAAATCAATCAATAGAAAAAAATAGAAAATATTTGAAGTCGAATTTTCCAATGTATTCAATTTTTTTTTCTTAAATTTCTTCTTTGAAGTCTTCTGTGCTTTCAGATTTTCTGTTCAACTAAAATAGTTGTTGTCCTGAAGATGCTATTCGAGATGCTAATTTGTCATAAAGACAGTCTGGTAAAGGGGAGATTTATGCTTTTCATATGCTCAGTGTTATTAAATTTCCGCCGGCGTGGCGGTTTTTGGTTTTTCCGCCATCCGTTATCCGTTATATGGCTGATTTGTAATGGCGGCGCCATGGCACCCGCCATGGACATGGCGGTCATGGCGGTATGGCGCCTATGACGTGAAATGGCGGAAATCTGGGCCAATTTTAGTGTAAAACTAAATTGGGCCTTTTTTACAGGCCCAAGTACTAAAAAAAAATGGAAAAATTAAACTTTATAACAGATAATACATACGAATCGGCTGTCTCTTCCTAAAACACAAAAACCCTACCCTCCTCAAACTCTCCTATCTGTTGCTACCGTGCGCTCTCTACTGACCCAACCCTCCGGCGACCGGCGACTCAAGATTCGGCGACCGGCGACTCCAGCTCCGGCAAGGCGGCTCTCAATCACTAGTAAGTTCTTTTTTCTTCCTTTATTTTCAGTTTCAGATTTAGGGCATTTTTTTTTTCCTTCATTTCATAATTGATGATTAATGATGTGAATAAGTGAATGGAAGGAAACTGAAAGTATGGAAAGAAAGCTTTATTTTTTTATTTTTTTTTTCAGTTTCCGATTTTTTTATTTTCCTTCTATTTTATTTGTGTTTGGTATACTTTTCTCACGACTTAAGATAATAGCACCATATGAGGTTGGGTTGAAGAAATTCGGTTGATGATAGTAGTCTTTTCTTTTTAGTGATGTAATTTGCAAAGCCTGTAATGTTTCTCTATAATTTGAAAAGACTGAATTTATGGATTCTATTTTGTATACAACAGTGTCTGAAGGTCAAATACATTCTTCTTCCCGTTGAAATGGGTTCTAACTTCTAAATATTGGAAAAGAAATTGGTAGCTGATTTGGTGCTTGAATAATTAACAAATTATTGTTTGCACTACTGTTACCTGTGTATAGTGTCCTTATCTATCATCTATCTGGTTTGTGATTGTTGTGGATTCCAACATTTTCACATGTTTGGATCTTTTACTGATAATAATAGTAAGTCTTGCTAAGAAACGAAGGAAAGGATATGGAGGAGCAATTTATACTGAGAGTGCCCCCAGCAGTTGCCGAGAGAATAGAGCGTCTGTTGAACGATTCTTCTTCTTCTGAAGACAAATCCTTGGACTTGTCATTTTCTGGTGATATGCTGATTTTTCGCTTTGAACATTCAAAGTTTACCTCACATAGTGATTACTTATGTTCTATCAATACTTCAGTGTTCATGCGCTTAAATATCACCAGTTTGTTCTCGTTCTTCTGACTTTTGTTGCACCTTTTTACATTTTATTTATTTATTTTGTTATAGATGATGGAAGGACTGGCAAATTCGTAATCGGGAATGACAGTTTCTCCGCATCCCTCTTGGATCTTCCCACTGTTGTAGAGTCTTACAAAACATATGACGACAATGTGTTGATCAAAACTGCAGATATTGGCCAGGTAGTATGTTACATAATTGTTCAAATTTTCCTAGATATTTTTATTCGCTAAGGTCAAGTTAAACAGTTTAAAGTCGTGATAGATGATAATGGTGAGAGAGGAGGGTGACAGTGCAGAAACAGGGGAGTACAGGCATGGGCTTACTCCACCAATGAGGGATGCTCGAAGGCGAAGATTTAGGCGGGAGCCTGACTTAAATGTAACATAAGATTTCCATTTATTAACGTCTACAAATGCGTGATGTTTATTTGTGATACATATATTTTATAATCTACGAGTACACTTATTAACGATATTGTGTTGTTTGGCAGCCGGAGCTTGTCCGTCGTGTCGAGAAAGATTTGCAAAACATCATGGCTGGTGGAACAGCTGAGAATATTGATATCCTTTTATTTTTCTACTCTTCATGTGTGTATATGTCTCTCTATCTCCGATGTGGGTGGATAACAAAAATGCACTTTCTCTTATAATACATCTCCATGCAAAAAAAGGTCTTGTTTATTAGGTATAAGATCCCATTAAATCTTGTCATTAGCTGCTTCTCTTTTTAGCATTGTAGTCCAATCGTTTCACATGACCTGTGTGTTACGGTTTTTTCATTGCATAAACGCATAATTTGAATATAGTTTTCAATGGTCCTTGACTGATTAATTACCTGCTGAAATGGCACCAGAAGAGTTTGATGCCACTAATACTGGTAAGAATGTGGTTTCAACATCTTCAGCAAAGCCAGATGTGCCTGAAACTGGAATGGTAGGTGGGGAGCCTGACCCTGATGGGAGTGATTCAGATGAGACTGATGACTCTATGTGAACCAAAGCTAATTTGATCACATGCAAAACTGTTGTTAAGTTTATGACGAGGTTAATGCGTGCTATGTGTCAATATCATTAATAAAAGCTTGGTGTGTAGTTTGTGTATCTCCAGAGTTTTTAATTAAACTCTTGTCGTTTCCCCAGATTTTTCGGTTACACACATATATTATATTTTTCATTTATTTTAATTTTCAATGTACTGTAATGTCCATTCATATCTGCAATCACTTTTTATTTTTTATTTTGGAAACTCGAGTTTTTAACATGATTTTAGCATATTTTAGTTATAATAATTGTTGGACACTTTTGCCCCAATATTTTTGGTTACACATGACTTCAGCATATTTTCAACTCATAAAAATAAAATATATATTATTTATTACAACTTATGTCATAAATTATTATATTGATTCGTATGCAAGTTTTACATTTAATATCCGAGCACGCACGCTCGTGCGGAGAGACGCGAGGCCACACACGGGACCAACGTCGACTCGCACGAGAGTTGTAACCGCCATCATTATACCCGCAAACTCCCCAAGCCAGTGAGTAATGCCAGATCTCGACTAGTAGCGGGTCTCCGAGTAGGTGCGCGCGCGATCCAGCGCTCTGCGTAAGCAACGCCAGCGAGCGTGCCGCCTCTCGGGTGACAGCGCACTAACCCCGAGCCGTTGAACCATTTTTAAGCGGTTCGACCAGTTTGTTCGTACCGAAATCATATTTTAGCCTTGTGAACGTTTTCCAAGTCTTTTTCCTTAAATCGAGAGGTCAAGTTCCACAAGAAAATTTCATAAAGTGCTTAATCATTAATTTTTTGATTAAGGGAGATAATCTCAATAATTCTTCCGAGTAACAAGATAATTTATTAATAATAATTCTCTCGTATAATTTTAGGTTTCTAAGGAGTCGAGCCCTCAAACCTATCGTGAGCACTTGCATAACCGACATTTTCCAAACTGAGGGGGTGTTGCTAAACTTGCCTCGTTGGATTCTATAATTAATATATGTGTATGAACCACTGATCTATCGAGAGTGTATCTCCCACCGATGAATTTGCCGGTGGATCTCCATTTTACCTAGATTTATGCTACAGTGCCAAACATCTTTATATTAGATAAGAGACGATAGATTTTTCCCTCTATTTTCGCGAGAAAATTATACCACCCACTGTTAAGATCTAATTTATTTGCAAATATATCCCCCTTATTTTTATTTGCAATTATACGAACATCTTATTTTTTATTTGTAATGGTACCAATAATTTTTATCTCATTTAACCACTTATACTATAAGATCGGGACCCTCTATAAGATCGGGTCCCTCTTTTCACGTTCTTCAATTTGACCGAAACAGACGCTCACTGTCACCACCACACGGCCTTAATCGACTTCTCACGCTCCGCCTGTCAGCCAGAAACGGAGAAACCGCTTTGAAATCGCGTTCTACAAGAACAAAGTCCTCTCCCAGCGCTCGTGCGTGTATGTATAGTTGTATACATCTTTATCTCTGTTTTTTCATGCTTCTTTTAGCGTCGATCGTTAATTTATTTCCTTATGTTCGTAGTTGCATCCTTTGAAAGTAAATTAGGAATTTTGCAACCTAATTGTTTGTGGACCTAGTTTTTCTCTATTTTTTTTTTTCCGATTGGCCGTAGACCAGCAACTGACGGTCTGGAGGACTTCAACTCGGGTCAGCGAATCAGTGACTAGCAGGCGACCCTAGGCCCCGACTGGCGACCATCAAACTGAGAAAAATTTAAGCATTTGATAAGCGTGTTGGCTGAATGTTTGGAGAGTGTTGGTTGAATGTGTTATGAAAAATTTAAGCATTTGATAAGAGTGGAGTGTTGGCTGAATGTTTGTGTTGGTTGAATCGAATTTGTTTAGAGTGGATTGTTCAGATCGGATTGTTTCAATGTTTATTTGATGTTTATTTACCGTTTATGTTTGGTATATTAGTTGATTTTTTTTTGTTTCATAAGATTTTTTTATTTTATTTGATGTTTATTTACCGTTTACGCTTTGTATATTATGTTTGGTATCTTAGTTGATTGATATGATTTTTTTTTTATTGATGTTTATTTATGTTTAGTATATTAGTTGATTTTTTTTTGTTTGATATGATCTTTTTGTTTTTGTTTATTGATGTTTATTTACAGTTTATGTTTAGTATATTAGTTGATTTTTTTGTTTGATATGATCTTTTTTTTTGTTTATTGATGTTTATTTATAGTTTATGTTTAGTATATTAGTTGAATTTTTTGTTTGATATGATTTTTTTTGTATATAGTTTATGTTCTGAAGATAGTGGTTCGTATATAGTGTTTAGTTCCAATTTTTTAGTTTCTATAAGAATCTTGATTCAGCTGCAACTTGCAAAGCTTGTTATTTGTTGTTGATAAGGTTGATTGATTTGAAGTTGCTGATGACTTTGCGGGATAGTAATGTTAAGTTGCACAGAGAGGTTTCATCTGTTGTTAGTTTATAAACCATACAAAACATATACCATTTATTTTTACCTTATTACAGGTTTATAAACTATTTTTTTATTATAAAGTTATATCCAATTTATTTTCAGTTTTTTTATAGATTTAAAAATAAATACAAGCATGCAAAATGTGATTTCATATATAGTTTTTTTTTTCAATTTATTATATTTATATAAATCAATACTAATCCATTCGGAAAATGTGCTCCACAATTAAAACATAAACACACCATAAAACTACAGAAAAAGTTGTTAATATCCAAACATATACTATGAATAAACATAAAATAAACATTGAAATAGATCTTATCGAAATAATCCACTCCAAACAGATTCGATTCAGCTACTCTAAACATTCAACCATATTCAACTCGGGGAATCCAAATTCAGCCCAAGTCAAACAGACCAACACTCCACTCCCATCGATTTATAACACAGACTCCGGATCTAACTGTCTGGTCTCGGGGTGACGAAATGCTATATTCGGAACATAAACTATTATACTAAAAAAATCATATCAAACATACAAATAAACATCAAATAAACATTAAAACAATCCTATCGGAACGATCCACTCCAAACAAATTTTATTCAACCAACACTCCACTCCTAACATTCAGCCAACACTAAGAATGCTTAAATTTCTTGCAACACATCCGGCCAACACTCTCCAAACATTCAACCAATGCTCCAACAGTCTAATCTCGACGAACTGTTATGTCGACCGTCGGTGGACCAGCGCACCTTCTCAATTTGATGGTCGCCAGTCGGGGCCTAGGGTCGCCTTGCCGCTGGCGGGTCTTCCAGTTCATTGATCCGCCGACCCTCAGTTGCCGGTTTTCGGGCAATCGAGAAAAAATAGAGAAAAATTAAGTACACAAACAATTAGGTTACAATTTAACGCTAAACCTATGCTTCATTGCAAAATTCCTAATTCACTTTCAAAAGATGTAATTACTAACAGAAAGACCTAAATTAACGACGCTAAAAAATGTATGAAAATACAGAGAAAAAATGTATACAACTATACATACAGGTGCGACCACCAGGGACCGCTTGATCGAAGGGAAGAGTACTGCGACGGAGGTGTTGCTCGCGACGGCGACTTTCTGGACCATCAATCTTCTCATGTTCATATCCTCGTCTTGTTTTCTTGAGTCTTTTATAATTAAGAAAAAACATTTGATGGTTTTATGGAGATTTAGGAAGAGGATGTGGTGTCAGCAGCGCCATGAGATTCGGAAGAGTCTGTATTTTGGAGGAACACAAATGGCCACGGATGAAGGGAGAGAGAGGGTTGGCTACTATATTAATGGTCCGTTACTAATCTCTAGTATTTATCTAGATATTTATGTTAAGTTACGTAATATTGCAAATAAGTTTTTAATTTTGTATTTGTGCAATATTTTAGCAATCACTAAAGCATGTATGTAAATTAGCCTTCTTTCGCGCTAGTATTGATATGGGCTTTTTAAGAACGGCCCAACATTTCGTTCACAAGGCCCAAACTGGGTGTCGCCCCCTCCAAGAAAAGGTTTTATAATTTGGGAATCGTTTCAGTAAATCCCTAAAAAAGCTTCGTCGTCTCTTCGTTGTGGATCAACTCTTGCGTGAATTATCGGTAAGTTTCCTCAAATTCTGCGCTTTGTTTCATCTGTTCTTCCTTAGTATTTCGGTAATACGGTATTGATTTTCCTTTCACTCATCATCATCATCACGTTATAGATTATATTATCTTCTTTTCCTACCTGCGCAAATCGAAATTTAGATATTGATGTGAAATCATTGTCGTGAAAGTCAGATATGAAATTGTGACCTGATCTCTTATCACTTGGTTTGATTACCTCTGCGCGAATTGTTTACTTACAACAATCAGGGACAATCCTCTTGATATGCAGTGATTTGTTGTTCAAACTTTTTCAAGTAGTAAATAATCCATCATCTAGCTCATGGTCCTGTTACGCGTTTGTACTGAAGCTTCCTTGAATTTCGGAGTGTCAAACCAATTAGCAAAGAAAATGGAAAAGATCTGAGCACACACTTTTAGTTCTTCTGTGATTTCGGATTTCCTGTTCAATTTAAATGCCTAGAAGATTCTATTGGAGATGGTAGTTTGTCATACATACAGTCTACCCAAAGTAAAAATCGCAGATTTATGCTTTTTCATATGTTTTGTGTTTTTTTCCTTTATCTTTTTCTTTTCTAAGTGTGATCCATAACTCTACAGAACTCCAAATCTGTAGAGAATGTCTGCATCTCACGCTTCCGCCACCACTGACTCCCTCTTCCTAGCCTCGGAGGCCAAAACCCCTTCTGAGGCCATATCAATCCTCTACGGCGTGCTCGAGGACCCATCATCCTCCCCCGAGGCCCTGCGCATCAAAGAACAAGCCATCAACAACCTTGCAGACCTCCTCAGGCAGGAAGGCCGGGCCCACGACCTCCAGAGCCTCCTGACCAAGCTCCGGCCTTTCTTCTCCCTCATCCCCAAGGCCAAGACGGCCAAGATCGTCCGCGTCATAATCGATGCCGTGGCCAAAATCCCCGGCACATCCGACCTCCAAATCTCCCTCTGCAAGGAGATCGTCCAATGGACTCGTGCCGAAAAACGGACCTTTCTCCGCCAGAGGATCGAGGCCCGACTAGCGGCCCTCCTCCGAAAAACGGACTCTGTGTGTTGTGGGATTTTGGAGAACTTTTGACTCTGCTTGTAACTTTCGTTTTTCTTTACATCCGTTGGTTTGAAATGTGGATTTATTATATGATTTTCGTTTTGATTTTTGGTGATTCTGTTTTAGATTGCACTTGTGTATTTCGAGCAGTTGAATTGTTGAGTTGTGCCGTGATTCGAACTTAGTCTTGTGGGGATCTGTGGTATCGTAGATGGATTCTGTTACTCGGCAAATGAGGACTCGTTATGGAAGAATGTGATTTGTTGTGAAGATTGATGTTGTGTTGTGGGATGAATGCCTAATTGCATGGATGAAATGATCTGGTAATTCAGATGCAGGCTATTGTTTCAATGAACGGTCAAGATAGCAGGACGCATGATAGAAGCAATTGAGAAGTTCAAAAAGTGAAAATTAAATGGTCAAATTATAACCTGGAAGGAAGGATGGTAAAAGGTGTTAGGTTGAGGGTGTAAGCATTTCAGAACTTATTATAAGCCTCCAAATGCTCATGTTGTTAAAATTGAGGATGCCATCTTCTCTCGAAAATCATACCTTTTTCATAAACTTCTCCAAAAGCTTACAAGTTACTATTAAAATGGTGCAGCATGTCATTCTCTCTCTAAAAGCTTCTTTCTATAAAACCAGATGGGTCTTTTCTATTACTAATTTGGCACATGCACTTTTAGCCTACACAGCTGTATCATGTAATTTCATTTCTCATGTATTTCAAGGTCTCCTTTTTCTTATGCCAACCTACGAGCTTCAAGAAAATCTTATAATATACATGAGCTCGTAAGCAGCCATAACAAGCCTCTTCGGCAATTCCACTTACATCTACAGTGAATCATTTCTGCGGGTGAAAGGAAAACGAAGAAGAAAAGAAGTGAACATGAACTCATTGGTGCAAAAGGTTCAATCTCTTAAAACTTTCAGCTGGGTACAAATGTAATTTGGAATCCACGCCAAAAGAGAAGATTTAAGCACCATAAAAGAAGTTTCAGCGGGAAACATAGAACTATATGTCACAAACACAAGCTCATGGTCTCACAAAAAATGGGGATTGCAAAGTAGTGACTCGTCCGAGAGACCAGAGAATCATAACAAAGTAAAAATAATTGCCCCATCAACGCCCAGAGAAAATGCATAACAATTTTTAATCTTTTCGTAAGAGAGAGGATATATTGCTTAAGCTATAGGTCACTACAACTTAACCTCCCATAGCCATAGCCATAGGGCGTATGTACAAGCAAACATAGGTTTTGACATCTCAAACTTTTACCTGTCTAGTAGTACTATGCTTTTAATTGAATTTACACATCCTGAAATCTCTTAAGCATTTCCTAGAAGGGAAAGCCAAAAAAGGTTAAAAAGACTGTTCGTATTTATTCACAAACGTAGTATAGAACTTCCTTTTTTGTCATTTCTTTCTATGTTGTAAGGATACTTCATTATGTATCACTATTCTGTGTCACAGAATTGTCTGACACAGTTGTATGCAACGGAATTTCGGATGTTTTTCCACTGTGTAAATAAGAGTAGGCAAAGACAGCAGAACCAAGTGTAACTGCAGTGGCAATAGAACCCCAAATCCATTTCTGTCTTCTCTTCCTTATTTGCCTAAGTCGCCTCGTCTCCTCTGCAGAGAGATTAAAAAAGAAGGACAAAATGAGATTTTTTGCCACTACTAAAAAGAGAGAACAAGCAGTATGCAATTTGTATATAGTATAGACAATATTTATAAAAGAAATAAGAAAATTACAATGTCAGAATTCAAATGTGTCACCAAGAGAGAAGCCTCCCAGTGACACTCATCTAAGGAGGATAATGCAGTGAAACATCATTAAACAATCAAAAGAATCTTTCGAATAAAACTGTGGATACAGCAGAACTAGGAATTGAACTTTAAGAAGAAATGGACAACATCTTCAAGTAACAATATCAAGCTCTACAAAATCTACTGAGGATACGGAGTGTAACAAAACCAAATTAAACTAATGATTGAATTTTAAAAGCAAAAGAAAAATGAAAGTAATTAATAACTGATTCATTTATTCTTTAAAATAGAAAATTGAACCTAAACAAATCATCGACTATGACAGACCATCTCAATTTAATTTCCTTGTGGCATTAAAATTTAGAAGAAAGTATGATAAACGTGCACCATGCATGCTTACATAACTGATTTAAAAGACATGCTTTAGAAAACACACCTACAACTTCTTGGTTCCTCTGGGACATCTCTTGGTTCACGGCTTTATAATAACAAAGCCTATCCCACAAACGAGCTACTTCAAAGTTCTTCAACTTTATCTGAGCTTCCATCTCCATTTCAGCCTCAGCCTTTGCGATTCCCTTCCCAATTGAGTTAGCAACAAACCGGGTGTAATATCCCTTTCAGTTATCTCAGTTATTATGAGTTATTGTTCCAAGAAATAAGTGATTTCGAGTCCAAGATAGTAAGTTATCGGACCGAAATTAAGAATTTTCAAGGAACAAGCCACACGAGTCGTGTGAAGAGGCACACGAGTCGTGTGGAGACACACGAGTCGTGTGGAGTGGCACACGAGTCGTGTGGGATGGAGAAGTGATGAAAGTTAGTCTCGGGATTTTGACACGAGTCGTGTGATGAGCCACACGAGTCGTGTGATGAGCCACACGAGTCGTGTGAAGCTACACGAGTCGTGTGATATAATACACGAGTCGTGTGAGAAGATGAATGATTAAGAGCAAAAGTGTCGGCAAAGCCACACGAGTCGTGTGGCAAGGCACACGAGTCGTGTGGCAAGGCACACGAGTCGTGTTGCCGACAGTCCAATTGGATTATTGAGAATTCGATTGTGACTTTAACCAAAGGCCATTTTTGATGTTTAAATATGCTTTGGATGGATGAATAAGTAAATCATAAGATATTTTAAAGATTATTTAAGTTTAGAAGTTAAATTTTATATTATGATCATTTAATCACTCTATTTGGATGTTTCTCCAATTTATGCCTATAAATAGAGGCTTAAACCTTAGAGTTCTTACACCAAAATAATTACTAAAGTCATATGAGTTTGTGAGAGAGAGTGAGAAGGAGTAACTTTGGAGAAGTAAGGACATTAGAGTGAAGAATCAAGTTTTTAACTTCACCTAGAAGGAGGTAATTTACTTATCTTAATGTTTCATATTTGAGTTCATGCTTTTATGATAAGTTTANANG